GAAGTTGCCGCCGTGATTGACGCTGCAGGCGCCCATCGGGGGAGAGGGGGAGCGCCGGAGTGCGGAGCCCGGGCCCCTGCCTCTCTCCGCAGGGCGCTGCGGGGGGGCGGGACGGAGCCGCCGCCCCGTCCGGGCCCCGCCGCCCCGTCTGGATCCCGCAGCCCCATCCCGGCCCCACCGCCCAGTCCAGGCCCCGCAGCCCTATCCCGGCCGCGCCGCTCCGGAGCGCGGGCTCTGCCGTCCCCGGCACCCGTGGCTGCGGTGGGGAGAAAAACCCGTCTCCGGCCCTTGCAGAAAGTTTCTTTCTAAATGCGTTAGCTTAACCCCCCTCCCCAGCGCCCAGTAACAACTGTCGGAGAGTTTTATAGGGAAGGGGCCTCTCATGTACAATAGAGACCCTGTTCGTGACCTGGGATCCCATTACACGCTGGTCGTACCTGCCCGGGAGCTAGGAGGAGGCATGATGATGCAGGACCGAGGAAGGATTGCCTCTCCGTTAATCGCCGGCCGTGCCCCACCACGCTCCGGTGCGCAGGGCGCTGGCGTTTTTGATCACTGGACGCCGGGCATTTATTTCTACTTGATTTCCAGGAGCGTGTCGGGGTGTTTCGTCCAGGAGAGGGACACGTGTAAACGTTAGAGACACTTCGCGTGATTAAGCGGACCCTTATCACCCACGCGTGCCCGTTACACACCGACTTTTTAGTTTACTGACTGTGCGGGGCAGGGACCCGTACCCTTTCCCGTCCCTTTCGGTCTACACCGAAAGTGAAAGGCGAGGGAGAGAGGCTGTGCAAGCGGGAAGGTCGGGGGAGGATGAGCGAGCGAAGGGCGACGCGGTGCCTCCGCGGGAGCGGCGCACAGCCTGCGCGGGTGGACGGGACGGCCGGAGCGGTGGCGGGCGCCGGGGCTCGCCCAGGTGAAGGCACTCGGGAGGAGCCTCCCGGCCCCAAACTCAGGGCAGTTTCCATGGCCTTTAATGTTCACCTTTGGGGGAGAAATAATAATTAATCCCACAAGCTCTTTCTACGCCATTTGCAGTGGACGGGACGGCCGGAGCGGTGGCGGGCGCCGGGGCTCGCCCAGGTGAAGGCACTCGGGAGGAGCCTCCCGGCCCCAAACTCACGGCAGTTTCCATGGCCTTTAATGTTCACCTTTGGGGGAGAAATAATAATTAATCCCACAAGCTCTTTCTACGCCATTTGCAGCCCTGACAGGAGAGGTCTCTGCAATTGTGGGTTCCTGCCACAGTACCTTTTTAGCCGCCCCGGCGCGTCAGGGATTTAGCGAAGCCACAGGAGACCAGGCTGCGGCTCCCCGCCTCGCAGCCTGACCCTTCGCGGCCGATGGACGGAGCCCCCGTGCCGGCCCGGGCGGGCGTAGCGGCCGTCCCCAGGGGAAGGCGAGGCCGGGGCC